GCCCGATCACTCTTCTCATTGTGGTGCATTAATACAAATGTGTTGTCGTGCATTACATTAAAGGCAACCCATTCCTTATGAATAGGCTGCCAGCGCACCACAATGGACGATAAAAATGTGTTTTTCTTTAACACAGAGCACCAAATTGTGCGTTGTGTGCATTGGGCTCCAATCTGCAATCATTTGGGTGCCATTCACAATGAAGGTGTGCTGCCATGTGTTGTGGCAATGCGCACTTTATTGTGAATATGCCCTCGGGTGATACTTTTCAGAAATTGAATGAATGTATTTGATGAATGTATTTGGATGTCCAAGCCATAGAGGATATTCCATTTCCTGTATCAGGAATAGTGTCACTTATAAAGGGGATGGTGTATAATGTATTTATATATTTAACTTTACCTGGTAGATCCGGATACTGTCACTTTTCCCATTCAGAACAAATTGTCATTGTCTCCTGATACACCACGTCCAGCTCCAATGTTGGATGGCGTCAGAGCGTACCTTGGTAAATAAGGTCACTGCTTCTCCACACTTAAAGTGTTTTGGGCGGCGAATAGTGATGGGCCGAACACACTCGAGTTCGAACTTTAGAACATGGAAAAAAGCCGAACTTCGAACTCAATGAAAGTCTATGGGACCAGAACTCTGAAAATCAAATGTTCCCATTTTGAAAGCTTATATGCAAGTTTTTGGCCATAAAAAGTGTATTGGGATCCGGGTACTGCCCTGGGGGACATGTATGGGGATCCGGGTACTGCCCCGGGGGACATGTATGGGGATCCGGGTACTGCCCTGGGGGACATGTATGGGGGTCCGGGTACTGCCCTGGGGGACATGTATGGGGATCCGGGTACTGCCCTGGGGGACATGTTAGATGGGGGCAAAGTTAGACTTGCATTGAGTTCGAATTCAAACTTTTTGGATGTTCAAATTCGAACCAAACTCGGACCTGTTCGGCTCATCACTATTTAAAACGGTAGTATAGATGTACAGCAAAGTCTCTGCTCAACAAAAAGCAAAGGGAACGTGCTACTGTATGTGATATCAATCCGATTTCACAGCAACATCTAGTGGACAAAGTGTGGTATTGATGTGCGTTTGTAGTGGAACTTTACCCATAGCGTCAAAAAGACAACAAAGGCACCTTTAGACAGGTTTAGTGATGACAATCTACAAGCAGATACTTCTAGATAATTGCCGGCTTTTTATTCTTTGCATACATTATATTTATTTTCCTCCCCATTCTTCTCACAGTGGTCATTTCTAATAAGGCCAGAGTAATCCATCTTGCTTTACTTCCTGGAACTCTGGCACTTGTGACCTAGGTCATGTGACCATGCACATCATCTTAGGGGAGGAAAATGCCTTTCTGTGAGATCGCAGGAGATTTCCCAGCAATGCTCTGCTGATGTAACCTTCCCAGGATGCAACGCTTGGGCACGATTACATCACTTTTGCCAAAGAGAACCAGGAAGTTGTAAGTAAAATAAAAATCTGTTTGTTTAGCTAATGAATGTGAGATGCTTTCATATCAGGATGCAGAGCGGCATGCTGATGAGATTTTTAGTCAAAGGGGGTAAAGGTCGGCTTTAAAGATACTCGGCCACTTTGCTCTTTCAGAGTGTCTTATAGTAGCCCACTAGCCCCACTACCCACTTATACTCCCCTTCACTGGGCTCCTCCACCACTTAGTTCCTTGGCAAGTCACATCCTAAAAAAAAAAGTTCTGTACTGGATGGTGTTGGAGATTGTGCCGGGTTAAGGATCTTTCCACGACCGTATTTCGGGTTGAGTGGCCTATCGCGAGCACTGCATCCTGGGAGGCGATCACAAGCTGCGACAGAACTGCATTAGAAAGGTGCCAGTGTCTCTTTAACCACCTTTCTTTCACCATATGGAAAAAATGGCGGCTAGGCAGACGTGCATTTCTGGAGCGCCGTTTAAAAACCGCGCTCTATGTACTACTTATGCTAGCACAGTGTCTGTGATTGTGCTGTCATTAACCATGAAGCACAACACTGTGTAGTCATCCATAGCCCGGGACACTGTGTACTCATCCATAGCCCGGGACACTGTGTACTCATCCATAGCCCGGAACACTGTGTACTCATCCATAGCCCGGGACACGGTATACTCATCCATAGCCCGGGACACTGTGTACTCATCCATAGCCCGGAACACGGTATACTCATCCATGGCCCGGTGAATATAATGGAGGCAGAGAGGCAACATACAAGAAACTGAAGAGCTGCACGTTCAGAATAGTTGTCTTTTATTTTTTATAATTGCGTGCACTTGCCAGGAGAAGCATGGACGCACCTTCAGAAACAAGTCAGCAGTGGCAGCTCACAGAAAGCAAACCTAAGCTGCGCATCAAGTCTTCTCATGTTAAACATGTTGTGCTTCTTTGTCAGATTTCTCGGGACCAATGGTGGAGTTTATGAACAAGATCCCTGCTGAGTCCATTATCCTGGTGGCCAGTCATGATGATGCGTCTACCAAGTAAGAATAACTTCCATATGACTAATACCGCATTATACCTCCGGATGGGCTGCACACTGGATCCATACATTGCGGTCAGATGAACTAGAGGAGATCAAAGTGGACCTACCACATAGTCAAATGCTGAACACGTGTAGTAAGGTCCAGGGGCATAGACATTCGGTCTCTGCAAAGGGGGAGCGTAAGCCGGTTTAAAATCTGATCCTCTACTTCAGACGAGCCCAGGCTTTCAGATATGTGGCCAGCACTGAAGGGAACCTGGAGCAGGGTTTTGTCCAGGAAAATAAAGAAATGTATCCCTCCTCTAACTCTTCATTCATCCAGGCCAGTGTTGGGTGTAAGAGTGTTGGCGCAGTTGTGTCATGTTGAATGTTAATGTTTAGGTATTGGTTGGCTCACAGTGAGTACAGAAGACTGATATTCTTGTGTTAAATTGTTGCTGGTGGCTTGTATCCCCCACTGGCTCCTTATATCTCTTGTCATTGCACCACCCACTGGTCTGGCTGTTGTTAGAGGGTCTCGGCCTGGCTGTTAAAATGATTTGACTGTAGCAGGAGGGGAGGGGGCTCCCCACTGAAGGAGGTGGGTGTCCAAGGCAGCAGGATTCACCTGTATCTGAAATATCAGATTTGGGATGGGGCTGACCCTTTAAGAAGGATCTCCATG